AGCCCAAAAGCAAACCATAAACCTTCTAAAGAATCTCAAATTCCTTTTAATGAACACCTAAGACACACGTATACAAACCACATATGTTTGAATTCTCACAAAAAAACACCTACCAAACGTTGAGTACCATAAAGCATTCCTTTAACGAAGTAATGCAAACCACTATTCTTTTAACAGAAACCACAAGTACACTAAAGCAACCCAAAGAACAAACAACAGAAAACACAACTAACCAACACATGAATTAAATAAAGTATTCCGTAAACAAACTAATGCAAACCACTATCCTTTTAAAGCACACTGAAAGTATGCTAAAGAAGGCCATAAAACAAATAAAACAGCAAAAAATACTCACATCTTCAACCGAATGAATACCATCCAAGTTGATGTCAAGATAGGGAAGCTTCGGAAGATCCCCTTCCCTCACCATATCAAGATCATCTACTGACCTTTTCCTCTTTGTACCCTTCACACGTCCTCGTCCCATTGGTTGACTGGTGGTTGCTTGTTCTTCCGCCACTACATCTCGATGACCAATAGAGAGATGACCTTCTTCCATCAGTACTTGAAAAGCAGCACTTGCGACTTTGTACGACCTGTGCCTACAGGTTGGTATGGGCAACTCAGGAGGGTTCTTCAAACGATCAAGAATCGAAATCTGCCACAGACAAACAGACAGAAGTCAAGCAACCACAAACAAACCGTGCCAGAAAGATTATAATACACACCACATAAAATGAACAGGGGGCAAAACCAAACCATAAATACTCTTAAACAAACCACAAACATCTTCAACCACACCACAATCGTCAATAAACAAACAATAAATGACAAACTGCAGAAACATTATAACAGGAGGGAACCCAAACCATAAATAGCTTTAAACAAACCACAAACATCTTCAACCACACCACAATCGTCAATAAACAAACCATAAATGATAAACTATACCAGAAACATTATAACAAAGGGGGGCAAAAAGCAAACCATAAATATTATTAAACAAACCATAAACAACTTCAACCACACCACATTCGTCAATAAACAAACCATAAATGAAACAGTAAACCAAACTTTGAAAAGAGGTATATTTTTCTACTTACAAAAAGAAGATGAACGTCACCAGGGAACTTTGATTTTGATTGAACCACTTCAACCATACTTTCATTGAAATGGTCAGCCACATGCTTACACCAATTATATTGGTTGAAGTCATCGACCATTTCATCTTGCAAAAACCCAGCATAGGAGAGGTCAATCTTCAAATTTCCACTGGGGCACAGAACTGCCTCCATTGCATACAGCACAAAAAGATCCCTCCACTTCTTATTGTCCCTCTCCTCTTCCAATGCCAGTTTAACATTCGCCAATGTCGCCTTTCCTTTCCTAGTATTGCAAAGCCCTAACTCAATTCCCCACTTGTGCCTCTGGGATGCACTAAACATATCCAGCTTAACAGCATACGGTCCACGCGGCAAACCATAAACTCTCTCCACATCTGCCTCTCCAATTCTAAACTTCCCTGACCGAAGCAGCGGGAAAGACCTTGAACTGACATCAAAACTTTTGCAAATCCATTCAGTAAAATTATCCGGGAGTCTCGTAAGCTTAACCCTCGACACACCCCTAAAACCCAGAGGATCAAGCATCTGCAGTTTTTCTTCAGTTGTACTGTCAGCTTCCATGATGGCAAGAATACGATTAGTATTACTGCGATGCCTCTTATCCGGCTTTCCAGCCACAGGAGAAACACCATCTTTCTTAGGTGTCGATACTTTTTCCTTTTCTTTCCCTTTTACTGCACGTTTCTTAGCAGGTGCCATTGCCTACAAAGCAACCAAAACACAAACCAACATAAGCAATCTAATACCAGAACATATAAAATGCAAACCATCAAGGGCCTAATGCAAACTGTAAAACCATGAAAACAATCCATTAATCAAATTTAAAGGAGACAAACAACTGCAAATAAACCACCAACATCACCCTGGAAATACACCATAGTTGTATTAAAAACATACAGAAAGGCCCCAATCGAACCCACAAACACCCTAAATGTCACCAAACACAAAACGCACCACCAAAATAAACAACAAAACAACAGAACTACTGAACACCACCACAAACAACTCAATAATCAGATGTAAAAGAGACAAACAACTACTGCAAATGCACACCAGTAAATCTCCTAAACGAAACTGTGAAATCCGAAACACTAACCACAAAACCTTTTAAAAGAACCACCAACAGCAGCCTGGAAATACACAATAGTTTCATTAAAAACCTCCAGAAAGGTCCCAATCAAACCCACAAACATCCTAACCGTCACCAAACACAAAGCAAACCACCAAAAATAAGAACAAAACAACAGCACTACTGAACACCACCACAAACGACTCATGAGAAACCAGAAACCCTAAAACATGCAAAGCACACCACAGAAACCCTAAAACATTCAACAAAACCTAATCAGAACACACAAAACCTAACCACAACGCACAATTATGAAATTTCCTCGTCTCCTACAACAAATCTAGACTGCATGCGTCAAAACATCGCAGAAAAGTGGAAAACGAAAGTAACAGAGAGCAAACCTGAAAACGACAGTTATAAATTCAATAGCAGCAGCAAGCAACGACAATGCTAACGAAAACGACAACGGCGACGCCAAACTAACACCATACAAGTGGAACTCCGGCGACGCCACAACGACAACGGCGACTTCGAAGGCCAAAACTGACGACAGAGGAGAAGACAGTTTAGCGGAGGAAATCACCGGCGGAATACCTCGAAATTAACTTCGCCGAAGGAGGAAACAAAATCGCGCGAACGAAATCCACAAGCCGCAGACGGAATCGCCGACGGAGGAAACGGAATCGCGAGAACAGGGAGAGAGCAACCGAAGGAGAAGTCGGAGAGCAGTTCGTGAGCAGAGGGGAAGGGGAAAACGGAAATGGCAAATTGCGCGCTTCAATGAATTTTTATCATTAATTTCGAATTTCAAATTTAATACCAGGTAAAAGAAAATAACTTATTAATTAATATGTGTGCAATTGACCCTTATACCCCTGTTGTTATACTAACAACACTTATGGTGTTGTTATGCTATCCGAAGCCTCCGATATTAGGTGAATTGTATGTTTGGTCATTCAAATTTATTAATATGTTTTTATGTTTGTCACTTAGACCAACTTCAATGCAAGACCTCAAATTTGGGGATTAGATTGCCCCCATTTTTTACAATTTGGCTCCAATGCTACCAACCTCAAATTTGGGAATCTCCATTTTATCCATATTTACATTTACTTAAAAGTGTACTTATCGAAGCCTTAATATAATTCGTTAATGTTAATTTTTGTATAGTTCGTCATTATTTTAAGATACAAATTTTCCGATATAATTTTTTCAAATTTCGAGACCGAATTTTTTTGGCGAAAAAATTATGGACCTAATTTTGGTTTACACACAACACTTGAAAATGATAAAGCTAAAGGAGTTCACATAATAATTTAAATGATACAACTTAGAGGTTACACGCAACACTTGCTAATGATAAAGTTTAAAAATAACACACAACACTTGAAATGATAAAGATGAAACACATAACATGTCAATAATCTCCCAGAATGGAACAGTAATTCCCGTAATCTCCTCCTCCTCCACCTTCGCCAAGAACGTATTTTCAATTCAATAATATATTTTTCATTCTTAGTTCGAATTATTTTTTGTGTACACAACTTCTAGATAATAAGCATAATTTTAAATAAAATGAATTCAATTTAAGTCATCTTAGGAAATAAAATAAATTAACCAAACTATTAAACACAAATTAAATAGACAACCTTCACTTAATTAATACAAACATTAATTCACTAACTGTTTGTGCCTAGTAGATACTAGGCGGTTTGTGGAGCTGGGGCGAGGCGCCTGTTCTTGGATGTTGGGGAGTACTCCTGATACTCTGCAAAACAACGGTCCGGGGCGGTTCGCCCGGGACACCCTCCGAAGCTTAAGTTAGAGAGAGAAGGGGAGAGATAAGAATTTATGTAGAGAGATGAATAGTAGTTGGCCTTACCATTAATGCACTCACCCTCTATTTATACCTGGTTTGAGGGTGGTTGGGGCATTAAATGCTATGTCGGGCGCCCCAGACCTGGTCAGGCGTCCTGTGCAGGCTTTTTGGGTCATGTCAGGCGTCCTGGGCAGGCTTTCAGCCTTTCTGCAGGCCGCATGTGGCCGGCAATAAATGCTCAGTCTTGCCTGATACCAGATACGCATCTTCAACGGCTCTCTGCCCTTCTGTGCTGCTCAGTTACTTTATGTCAGGCGCCCTTATCTATTCCTTGGGTTCGCAGTCGATCATGGACCGCCCGCTGACCCGGTCTTTCGATCGGGCCCGCCCTCCTTATTGGGCCTTAAACGCCGACTCGCCTCTCTTGGGCCCGAGGCCCAAGTACGCTCAACTATGCGGCCCAACAATTGCCCCTTAGGCGGGAAAAGCCTAGGGTTTTGGCGGCTACCAATAATGCTCTCAGGTAGTTGAGCGGTTTGCTCCTCCTCCTTGTCCTACTCTGCCCCTGGTCGCCGGAGACCTAGGGTTGACTTGCCTAAGTAGCGCTCCAACCGCCTTACGGGTTTTCCTGGCAGAAACACTTTATACACGTGGCTGTGGGTTGGTTTCCGTGCTCTGACACCGGGCAGGCAAAACGTCCTTTCACCTGCCCGCTTTTGAATTTTGCGGCCTAAAGCTCCCCCTCGGGCACTCAACCGTCACATCAGTCTCTTTTGCCGCTATATATACTCCGAGTGTTTCTGTTGAGAGGAACTTTCGCATTCCCTCTTTCTCTGTCACTTATTTCAAAATTGCGCGGTGCTCTAAGTTCTCTCTCTCTCGTTATTTGGAGACTCATCCTTCGATTCCGGCGGAACGATATCGGTCCCTTTCTTCTCTGAGGAAATCCCAGAAACGAGACAAGAAGAAGAGAAAACAGTTGTCCGCGATGGTTTCTCAGTCGACCACTCCGTCCGATAGCCAGAACCGCGGCTTTTCCGGCGAATCGGCGCCGCCGTCTGCTTCCGACGTCGCCACCAACACTCCTTCTGCCGCTGCGAAGACCACCGCGTCTGACACGGCGGCGGCGGCCGCCACCGGCAACGTCGCCGCTCCTCGTGTCAACGTTAGCGCCGCGCGTACCTCTGCTAAAACCGTCAGTGGAGGCGGTCCTGCCGCTGGAGCAGGTATGCCCGCTTTTTCCAACCCTTTAAGTTTATCCGACATAGAATGGGACTCGGAGGGTATTGATTTGCTGTGTGGGGGTGGTAATGCGGTTGTCGCGAGTGAGCGTGTAGATAGACCTGACGGTTGCATTTTAGGGCTAGGGGTGGGCGCGCTAACTGACACGGGTACCTTCCTAATTGAGCGCGGAGCGACCTCCCGGGTTGGGGACAACCTGGTGAAGTTGTCCTCTGAAAGCGTGCCGGAAGACACACCTCGCGACTCGGCCGGGGAGGACTCAGTCGCGGATTCCCCCTCGCTGGCTCTGTCAGAGAAGCCGATTCATCCGTTCCAGGCGGTTGCGGATAGCGAGTATCGCGTGCGCCTGCATGCGGATATGTGGGAAGGGCGAGAAGTTCCCGATGCAGTTTATTCGTACGGGCTTAAGTACAAGCCTGCTTATTCTCCTGCTCAAGTACTCCGCCAGCTTCACAGGCATCAGCTTCCCACGGACTGGGAGTATGCGGCTCCATCTCTCGAAGGGCGTTGCGGTTCTTGTCCCATTGGGTGGATCACCATTTTTACGGAGCATATGCGGTTAGGGTTGGAGTTCCCGCTGGTCCCGCTTCTCACTGGGATACCGCTACACCTTAACTGTTCATTGAGCCGCCTTTCTCCCTCCATAATATTCCATTCCATCTGCTATCGTGCGGCTTGCGCCCGCCTAAAAGAGGAACCGTCAATCGACGCCTTCCGGCTGCTGTATTCCATGACCGGCTCGAAGAACTGCTGGTCACCCCGAAGGCGGTCAAAGAACGTTGGGTTCGTCTATGGGTCTCCAAAGCTGGATTCCCCCTGGTACAGCGAGTACTTCTTTGCTCGCCCCGCCGGGAAATGGTACTCAGGGGACGTGGAGCCATTGACTGTGTTTTCCTTTGGGCAGACAGATGACTGGGATGAAGGGGTCAAGCGGCTGCAACATCTGAGACCGCACCTCGACCGCATCACTTCGACTGTTCAGTTTCGGTTGCCCCCGCATGGGCATGATAACGCCCTTGAGATTGTGCAGCGTTTTCACGGTTAGTTAGTTCTCCTAGACTTTGATGGGACGTAGCTTTCTCATGCTTTTACTTATGTATTCACTTTTCAGGTATCCGGCGTTACGCGTCTTCGGCGAGGCCGCCTAAGGCAGCAGCGAGCGGGTCCCCTGCGACCGTTGTCTCCGGTCCTACCGGCTCGGAGGGTCCGAGAGCCGGGGGCGGCTCTACCCAATCGCAGCTGGCGCTGGGGCGCTCGGGCACCCTTAAACTGACCGTCCCAAGCGGGCAGGGCACGGCTCGACCCGCGACCAAGCGCCCGCTGGATGTGGTGGAGGTGCAGGACGAGCCGCCCTCGGGGAGTCAGCCCAAGCTAAAGGGCATCCTGGTTGACCAGCGCTCCGAACCGCCGGCCACCCATAAGAAGCAGAAGACCACCACGCTTTCCTCCAGTGCGGCGTACTCACCGCACGTGACTTCTTCGGCTGAGCCGGCTCGCCGCGCCCTTTATGCGATTGTCGAAGGGTTCGCAGTTCCCAGCGAGTATATGCGTGTCGCGGGTGCCATCCCCACAACTTCTTATACTCGTCATCTGGCTGGACAACCGCTCGATGCTTCTTCGCGGTGAGTGACTTAACTTATTTTCAATTCCGCTGTGCGGTAGGTGTATGGTACTGACTGACTTTGTGGATGCAGGCTCAATTCGGGATAAGTCAACTTATTCTGGCTAACGAGCTCCTGCTTGATGACTTGGGCGACCGCGAGACCAAAATCCTCAAGCTTGAGGAGCAGGTGAAAGAGGGGCGCGAGGGTTTCCGCCAGGAGCTGCGAGATGAGCTCCTCAAGGAGTACGAGGCGGCCTTGAACGTGAAGGATGTCGAGCTGCAAACTGCAGGGAGGGTCTAGCGAAGTCAGCTAGAGAGTTGGAGGGTGCTCAGCAGAAGGTGCGGGAGGCGTCCGAGCGGGAGAAGGGGCTGCGAGACAAGGTGGAAGAGTTGGAGGCCAAGGTGGTTGACTTGGAGGCGCGGCGGGAACGTGAACTCGCCGAGGCTAGGGAGGATGCTGGCGCAACCTTCTTTGACTCGGACGAGTTTAAGGCGGTGGATGAGGCTAAGTATCAGAAGCTGCTACGGGACAAGGTAGCTTCCATCCGCCACCTGTTCCGCCGCGAGCACCCGTACGTGGTTTGGGATCGGAATGCGGTCTGGGACGCGATGGAATTCTGGGGTGACCATGATGTCAACTCCGAAGTGGAAACCCAGCCCACGGCCGCTGCGACCACTACTGGGGAGGAAGTGAACCAGCCCCCTCCCACCGAAGGTGGCTCCTCTTAGTTTTACTGGCAATTTAACCAAGTGTTCTTTGTTATTGTTTTTCCCTTGCTTTCTTCTTTTGGGGCGCTCGATACATTCCGCCTTCGGGCGAGGTTTTGTAATATTTCGCTTTGAATGATGCTTACGTTCCTTCTTCCTATTCGTCGCATACTTGGAATTCTTTACTTGTAGCCTGTGCTTCCTCCTCCTTTTCTCTTGTTGGGGAAGCACGCTGGAGGGGGAGAGACGCCCTTTGGACCTCTGTCACTGGGGCGGCTTAGCGGTTAGTCCTAGCGCTGCGCGGGTCTGCGGCACGCTTCGATCCTTACGTTACAAGCTCCTCGTACCGTTCGAGGGCGGTCTTCCCGCTGTGAGGTGGGATTTCACTTATAAGATTCTTGAGTATTAGGTTACTCGCCGGGGCTCTTATTGTTTAAGTTAGGGACTTCGGGGAGTTTCCCGGATGCTGTGTGTGATACGGTTTTGCGTGCAAGTTTGTTGGGTGCGTAGCTACTGCTCTGGGGCGGTTCAGCCCCAATATGGCGTTGTAGGCGGGTGCATGCGTGTAGTTAGCGGCTGTGTTAAGCGGCCAAGAGTTATGAGAATAACTAAGATTGGTAACATAAAAACATATCGCTCAGTGGCGACTTGAATTACTGAAGTCATTGACAGGAGTGTTGACTACCACTCTCACAAAAGCGCCTTTAACCGCGGCGTTGACTTCTTACAAAATTCCTACGGCTTACTCCTCCTTACTCGCTGTGGTACTTCCTTAGGTGAATAGCATTCCAAGTCTTGGCTACTGGCTGCCCCTCCATGGTAGCTAGCATGTATGTGGCGGTCCCTATCTTCTCCGCTACCAGGAACGGTCCTTCCCATATGGCGGCCAACTTGTCATGCCCCTCTTTTTGTTCGAAATTCCTCTTGAGCACCATATCTCCTTCCTCAAGCGGGCGAGGCTTCACCTTCTCGTTGTAGATTTTGGCAACCTTGAGCTTTTCCTGTATGGTTCTCACCAGGGCCGCGTCTCTCCTTGCCTCTATCATGTCCAGCTGGTGGAGGAGCCTTTTGTGGTTTTCCTCTGGATCGTATGTCTGGACCCTTAGCGAGGGCAGAACGACCTCGGTGGGAGCAACCGCCTCGGAGCCATACGTCAGGGCGAATGGAGTTTCTCCGGTTGCTCTCTTGTAGTTTGTACGATGCGCCTAGAGCACGTGTGGTAACTCGGCGGTCCATCCCCCTTTGGCTTCCTTGAGCCTCCTTTTCAGACCCCTGAGGATGAGTTTGTTGGACGACTCCACCTGCCCATTGGCTTGCGGGAAGGCGACTGAGGCCATTCTGCATGTGATGTGGTTCCTGGCGCAGAAATTTTCGAATGGCGTGCAATCGAACTGTGTTCCATGGTCAGTGATGATTGTATTGGGAGTACCAAACCTGATCATTATGTTGTTGAAGAGGAATTTCTGGATCTTGGCACTAGTGATTGTGTCCAGCGGCTCGGCCTCTATCCATTTCGTGAAGTAATTGACCGCCACCACCAGATATTTCTTGCCCAAGGGGGCGGTTGGAAAGGACCTAGCAGGTCCAGCCCCCATTGTGCAAACGGCCACGAGCTTGTTATGCTCTTCAGCTCCGCGCTGGGCAGGTGTTGCTTGCTGGCGTGAATTTGGCATTCATGACACGCACTGACCGCCTTCTCAGCATCCTTCTTCACCGTTGGCCAGTAGTAGCCTTGTAACAGGATTGTCTTTTCGAGGCCTCTTGGGCCTGCATGAGAAGCGCACGTGCCCTGATGTATCTCCTTGATAATCCATTCCGCCTCTGCGAGGCTCAAGCACTTCAGGTAGACGCTTGAGAATGACCTCTTGTGCAACTGCCCCCCCACCATGCTGTAATGGGCGGCCTTCCGTTTGATCAGCTTTGCTTGGGCTTCATTGCTTGGCAGAACGTCCGTCTGCAAATACTCGACGATAGGAGAGCGCCAATCGGCCGCTCCCTCTTTGATGGCCATGACCCCCTCACTGGGCGGGGCCTCTTTGGTAATGGTGACTTGACAATCGCCTTCGAAGTCCATAGCCATGGCCAGCTTGGACAAGGCGTCCGCGTGATGGTTGTCTTCCCGCTTGACATGCTCTAGCTTCCATTCCTCCAACTGTGAGAGGATGCCTCTTACCTCATCGGCTAACTTTGCAAGCGCTTCTTCCTTTGCTTCGTAGTTTTCTAGGACTTGGTTGACTACCAACAGGGAGTCGGAGCAGATGGGGAGGTGTGTGGCGCCCATTCCCATGGCGATTCTGAGACCGCTCAAGAGGGCCTCGTACTCCGCTACGTTGTTGGTCTTCAACTCCTGAAATCTGTGGGAGAATTCGTGTATGAATCCTCGGGGCGATTCGAGCACAATTCCAGCACCTGCTCCGCCTTTTCCGGCGGCTCCGTCCACGAACAAGCGCCACACTTCAACTTCTTCTTCTCCATCGATGGTATCGAGGCTAAAACCTTCTGCCACAAAATCCGCAAGCACCTGCCCTTTTATGGAAGGACGCGGCGCGTACGTGATGTCGTACTCGCTGAGCTCGACCGCCCACTTAGTCATCCTTCCCGAGGCGTCCAAATTTATGAGTATCTTTTTTTAGGGTAGGTTGGACAGGAAAGTGATTGGATGCCCCTGGAAGTAAGGGCGTAGTTTCCTCGCTGCGGAGATGACCGCTAGGACCGCCCTCTCAATCGGCATATATCGCCTTTCAGCTGGCAGGAGGGCTTTACTGACATAGTATACGGGATGGTCTATGCCATCGGCGTCCCTCCTTACCAGGGCTGAGCTGACCGCTTGGTCTGAAACCGCCAGGTACAGATACAGGGGCTCGGATTGGAGGGGGGCGCTAAGGACGGGAGGAGAGGCCAGCTGTTCCGTCAGCTGAAAGAAGGCTTTGTCGCATTCAGGTCCCCATTGTAGGCGAGACGCGGATTTCTTCAGCATTTGGAAAAAAGGCGAACATTTTTCTGCCGACCGCGGGATGAAGCGGCTCAGGGCGGCCATCTTTCCGTTGAACGCCTGGATTTCTTTCACCGTGCGTGGCGGTTTCAGGCTGAGTATTGCTTCGATTTGCGTTGGGTTTGCTTCTATGCCCCTGTTAGTGATCATGAATCCTAAGAATTTTCCCGCTTTTGCTCCGAACACACATTTCAGCGGATTCAGCCGGAGGCGCTCTCTTCGAAGCGTTTCGAATGTTTCCCTTAGGCCGGCCAAGTGATCGGCCCCTCTCTTACTTTTGACTAGGACGTCGTCGACGTAGGCTTCCACGTTCCGGCCCAACTGTTTTTGGAACACTGTATCGATTATCCTCTGGTACGTCGCGCCTGCGTTCTTCAGACCAAAAGGCATGACCGTGTAGCAGAAATTTCCCATATGCGTCATGAACGCGGTCTTCTCTTGGTCCTCTTCCGACAGGTGATTTGGTGGTAGCCTGAGAACATGTCCAGGAAACTTAGGGTCTCATGATTTGCAGTTGCATCGATCAGCTGGTCGATTCTGGGGAGGGGATATGCGTCCTTGGGGCAGGCCGCGTCGAGGCTTGTGAAATCGATGCACATTCGCCAAAGACCGGACGCCTTTCGTACGAAGACAGGGTTGGCCAGCCACGTTGGGTATTTTACTTCTCTGATGAACCCTGCCTTCAGCAAGCGCTTCACCTCCTCTTTCAATGCCATTTGCTTTTCAAGGGAGGCGTTCCTCC